CCTATGCTAAGGGCGCTTTTTCATCGTCGACGACTCAGCGTGTTTGAAGACGACGCCTCGAGAGAAAGGATGATACCATTCTTCACGTTTTAAGAGGATCAGGCTGCTTATGATTGCCAAGATCTTGCTACAATTTGCGATCTTGACAGACGTATCTCGAATAATTTTTTAACTGGAATATGACAGCTGAAATTTCATCCTCATCGAATTTAGTATTTGCTGTTTAAAGTTAATGACTGAATTTTTTCATTTTTGTCGACTTCATAAAATTCTCAATTTAAAAGTTTAGAAATCTCAAAGTTTCTAAAGCTGCAACTTTTTAAATCTTCGAATTTGTGGACTCTTCGGAGTTTTTCAAACTTTGAAGTGACCAGATTATCAAATTTAAAAACTTTCGGACTAGTACAGCACGTGCCACTAAACAGGACCAATATGATTAAAGTATAAAGAATAAACTGAATTTTCTCCTTCGGTATGAATTCCCTTTAACTGATTGTACAAAGGAAACATATCAAATTTTTCAACTTGCAAGCACAGTCACATATGCAGTTAGTACACGCAACGAATTAATATCACCTCCACAATTAGATTACCAATGCCACGCAAATTATGCTAATATGTCCTCGTACACCCTTTGTGCACCCGGGACAAAGGTTTTTTCTAGAAGAAGGTTTCATCGTAGAAAGAATCTTGGGAACGAAAATTCTAGCATTGGCCGCGTTGAAAAACCGGCAAGAAACGCACGAACGGCTAGATCCTTGGGTAGAATTTTCTTTTGGGAGTGCTCGCAAACCGCGGCCAACTTGATGCTAATCATTTTGCCGTTCTCTTTGCTCGCAACTCGCGCTAATTAGCTTTAATAAGCTGTGCAGTCTGTTGCAGAGATTCGGTCCTCGCGATGGTTTACCTCCGACGACAACGGGCTGTTCTTGATCCCCTTTGTGAACTGAGACTTACGTGTATAGAATACGGTTAGAAATGTGCCTTGTTCTCCCTGCTACTTGATTCATGAATTACTTGGAAAACACTGCATTACTGTTCATTAATAACGTGGCGAAGATACGTTGCAGTGGAGGTCGTATATGGAGGACAGATAAGTAACCGCTATATTTTTGATTGGCACATTAGTGCACTTCACAGTTGGGGTGCATCATGGTCCACTCTTTTTTTAAATGACTTTTTACATATTTTTTGTATCAAAGTTCTCTGTATTCAATTATGAAGATTGTTTTGTAGTAGGGAATGTCATGTATCTGGAATACAGGTAAGTAACCGCTGTATTTTTGATAAACACTCTACTGCACTTCACAGTTGGGGTGGATCGTGGTCCACTTTTTTTTTAAATAACTTTTTACGTATTTTTTGTATCAAAGTTCTCAGTATTCAATTATGAAGATTGTTTTGTATAATAGGGATGTCATATATCTGGAATACAAATAAATAACCGCTGTATTTTTGATAGACACACTACTGCACTTCACAGTTGGGGTGCATCGTGGTCCACTCTTTTTTTAAATGATTTTTTACATATTTTTTCTATCAAAGTTCTCAGTATTCAATTATGAAGATTGTTTTGTAGTAGGGAATGTCCATTATGTGGAATACAGATAAGTAACCGCTGCATTGTTGATAGATACACTTCTGAATCTTCACAGTCAGAATGGACTTACATCTACTCTTTCTTAAAATGATATTTTACATAGTTTTCTTGTCAGATTTTTCACTTCTTGATAATAAAGATCGTTTTGTATAGTACAGTGGATGTCACATATGTGAACTACAGATAAATAACCGCCATATTAAACTCACTTCTGAACTTCACAGTCAAAGTGAATATTTTGAATTAAAAATTGAGGTGCCTTATAATTTGAAAAGTGTAAAAAAGTATAAATAAAAAAAGATTGTAAAGTACATATTTTATGAAAGCTTGAAATATTTCATAAACTGTAAATCTTTTTGATGTTACGCCCTAATACTTTTCTATTCAGAGTGTATCAAAGAATCTGTATACGCAGTTACATTACAAAGTGAATAAACGCAATCGCACTTTTCTGTTACATGCAACTGCATACACTTTGAGCTCGGAACAATGGATACAGATTTCAACGCACGCGGATTAGATGAAAACAAACTATAGTGGCTTTGATATGCCATTTTACAACAGAGTGTGACTAATACGAATTTACTAATGGATCCAAACACGCTCTTGAACATGCACCTGAATGCATCAATTCAACCAAGCTATTATTTCTGCGCATGAATGTGAATGGTATAATCGAGATTAGCGTCATCAAAGTGCACATATTTGACACATAATGAACCAGTGAAACCTCATTACGCAAATTAATCTGCTAAATAAAGTTACTTGACAAGCACTATCTATTGTATTTGGTTTAGATAACTCGGTTAACACAACCCTATGAAATCTTGTGATATGCAACCAAAGAACTGACAAAAATAAATTACATATATATTTCATCAAGTCAATATTAAATTCAATTTACGTCAGAAAATACGGACAGACTAATGAAAAATAAAATGGAGTTGCATCGGAGGTCGTAATAAAAAATTAAAGTAAAAGTAAATAATATTACTTACGAAATGAATATTAAATTCAATCTACGTAAATTGGACTAGCACCTAATGAAAAATTGAATACTCAGTTTCGCATGAAAATTGTGTCGCAGTCAAGCAATTAAATTAACAAAAGATATTGTATATAATATAATATCACGTAATTACTAATAAATTCAATTTGAGTCCGAAAATGGAGCAGCAACGTATTAAAAATTAACCGGTCACTCTTCTCAAAATTAAAATTCATAAAAACTCTACTGCGGCGCTAACAAGGAAATTAACGATTATATAATTTGTGTGCCTTTACATAATAAAAATTGCTAATCACGAAGGCTGCTCAAAACGTTTGCAGCCCCTATAAATCGCAACTCTTCAACGTCTACAATCCACGATGCTCGAATGAAATGACAAACGATGATCGTTAAATCGAAGGCAATGCAATTAGGAGAAGCACGTTTCCGCTTAGTCGAAAGTGCATCTTGATGCACTTACGTAAGCAGTGACCTATTACTTTAAGATACGTAAATCGACGATGCTAGAGGAATTATCGGTGAGGAAGGTTGTCAAAGCACCCTGTGCTCCGCTATCAAGCGATTTAACAGGTTAATTAAACGAGTTCTCGATCGACTACAGAAGCACAATGTTTCTTACTCGAATAAAGGAGGCACTGGCTGTAATTAATCACGAAATTCGTTCGACTGATCAGATACCGGTAATTGTCTCATTGTTCGTTGCAGCGAGTGGGGAAATTAGTTGATACGAAAATAAGGGTGACATATCTAGATTTCAAGATTTCAAGGTTTTGTTGGCGGGTCAATATCTTCTTCTAGAGTTTGACGTTTCTGGGTACATAGATATAATTTCTGGATTGATAGATGTTTAGGACTTTGAGTCTCTAGATTTTCTGATCTCTTCATCATCAGAGAGAATAAGAACCAGGTTCTTATCGGATCACTATTTTCTAAGATTTCTAAAGTCTCAGAATGACATACTGATATATCAAATCTATAGACTACCAGATATCTGCATCCCCAAATTTCTAAACGCTCAGATCTCTACACTCCTGAATCTTTACAGTCCCAGATCTCTACCCACCTCAAACTCCACATCCCCAAATTTCCATATCCCCAGACCTCTACATCCCCAAGTTCCTAGACTTCCAGATCTCTACACCCCCGAATCTCTACATCCCCAAATTTCTACACTCCCAGATCTCTACACCCCCGAATCTCTACAGTTCTAGATCTCCACATCCCCTAATTTCTAGATACCCAGATTTCCACACCTCCAAATTTCCAGATCCCCAGATCTCCACATCCCCAAATTCCTAGACTCCCAGATCTCTACACTCCCGAATCTCTACACCTCTCAATCTCTACATCCCCCAATTTCTAGACACCCAGATTTCCACACCTCCAAATTTCCAGATCCCCAGATCTCCACATCCCCAAATTCCTAGACTCCCAGATCTCTACACTCCCGAATCTCTACACCTCTCAATCTCTACATCCCCCAATTTCTAGACACCCAGATTTCCACACCTCCAAATTTCCAGATCCCCAGATCTCCACATCCCCAAATTTCTAGACTCCCAGATCTCTACACCCCCAAATCTCTAAATTCCCAGATTTCCGCATCCTAGAATCTCCAGATTTCAAAATTTCTGCGTTCCCTAATACTTACACCTCCAAATCTCCACATCTCCCAATTCCTACACCTTCTATCCCCACATCCTTGTAACTCTACATCCCCCATCACCACATCTTCCTAATATC